TTGATAGTTAAAAAAATTTATATATAGCAGGTTACATACTTAAAAAAAAGTGATTCTGTCATTTTAACAAAAAAGAGCAAGCCAAGCCACTAAAAAGTATGAAGCACAGGCACCTACAGAAAAGTTTTGATTGAGCAACGCACAATCACTTCCTGGTGGTGTCGCAGCTTGCCAGCTTTCTCCTGGTCACCAGCCAGACGTATTGGCCCATCACTATAGTGAGCATCCTGATTGGCCAAAAGGAATACATGCTAAGCTCTTTTTTTTTTTTGCTTGGTAAAATGACTTTGAAATAAAATTGACCCCAAGCTGTTAAAATTATTCTTTTAAAAAAATCCTCAAGAATTGCAGCACCTTATAACTGCATAAATCAAATCTATGTGATGAGACTTGATTATGTCATTTAAGTTCTGCATCTACCTATCTCTTAAAATGGGCACATCATTAAAATTCATAAACTCATTTAACACGTCTTTATTAGTAACTTACAATTTTCAATAAACAACGCACCAGTTTCTTGCCATAGATTCAGCTACTTTTGAGCTCCACATCTTAACTAAATGCTAAGCAAAGACCCCATACTCTTTGGCTGCTATTAGCATTGTGAGCATTTCACATCTTTGGAGAACACATTTTTTGTTTTTCTTATTGTTCCTATTTATTGGCTGCAATGGAGAAGCATGTCCAAGGAGTCCAAGTCACAGGCATCAAAATTTTGCCAACTCCTAAGCTGACATCTAGGTCTGTAGAGATAATAGCAGAGCACAGAGCAAAGTCCTCAGAACTTTTTGTTGTATTTTGGGAACTTTGGTCTTGTCTTGGTTCGCACCTGTTCAGTTATCATACACGGATGAAGAAGAGCAGGAACTCAATCTTCTCCAGCTGGGTCCTCACAGTAAGAGACGCAAGGACAATGTGAAAAGCAAATCTCTTTTACAGGAAGTGTTCTTCTGAAAAGAGGTCATGATATGGCTATTTATGTACAGACAGTTGGCAAGCATGAAACTTTCCTCTCCAGTCATAAATAAAACTATTGCATTAAAACCTGGCACAAGGGTCAACAGACAGTCCACTTCAACTGGGCCAACTGGGGACAAATCTATGGACGGCACTTATGCTTAAAGGAGAACTATGAGATGAGTGATTTCCACTCACCTCATTGTTCTAGCCAACCTGTGACAATGAGACTGTCACAGGTCGGCTCAGTAGATCGGGAGGTGAGCGAACACATACCAGGTTCGCTCACCTCTCGATCCTGTCACGGCTCTCTGCCGTGATTGGGGAGGGGTTGGATTCCCCTCTCCCCGCTCCGATCTGCCAGCGCTGACTGGCGGAACGGACGGGGGAGGGGGCGGGTACAGCTGGCTCTGCCTCTAGATAGGCAGAGCCAGCTGTCACTCACACAGCTGGGCGGATCCCGTCATCTACGTCGGGATTCGCTACGGCTACGGCGTCTCAGTATACCGCGAGCTGTAGCTCGCGGTATACTGAACTTAGGGTAACGGGAGGACGCTAGTTTGTGTCCTCCCGTTACCCTAAGGAGAACTATGGGGAAAAACACTGACCCCATAGTTCTCCTTTAAAAAAAGAAAAGTAGACAAAACACGTACAAAACTGTTTTATTAACCCGATTGTGACCAGAGGTCATTGAAGCTTAGATGCCTGGGCCAAGTTAAACAGCGTCAGCATGCGTCAGTTAACTTAACAATAGCTTTATGACTTTTGTTTTTTACTAAGAACATATAAGGGTTTACCAAATAAAAACACTGCTGTTTTTTTTAATAATTATTATAGGCCGACAAAAGGAAAAATGTGTAAAAGATTATTTTACCTTTTTCCCCCATTTTTTATTTTTAAATACTGTAATTGTACAGTATTGTGTACATGTCACTGCAGATGCCACTGTGGCCTAAAGGTGCCAGTGTTCATCTGCATGATGAAGGTTTATTTTGTCAATGAGGCCTCCACCTTGCATCTGATCACTATGTCATAGGTGGCAGTGATCATATGATCGGGAAACACTCTGGTTACAGTCAGTGGGGGTTAAAGGAGAACTATGAGGTGAGTGCTTTTCACTCACCTCATAGTTCTAGCCGACCTGTGACAATGAGACTGTCACAGGTCGGCTCAGTAGATCGGGAAGTGAGCGAACACATACCGGCGTTCGCTCACCTCTCGATCCTGTCAC